TCTTAGCCTTCTCCCCCTCCACTAACTCTATAACAAGCCTCTCTACTTCATCCCTCTTCACATCATTATTGATTTCCATGCCAATGCCCCATTCCTTGCAAGTATAGCGGCAGTCCATTTGCTGGTCGGCAAAGAATGGCCAACAGAGCATAGGCACTCCTGCAGTCAGGCTCTCAATTGTTGAACCCCAACCGCTGTGTGTTAAAAATCCTCCAACTGATGGATGGTTCAGCACATGCTCTTGTGGGCACCAATTTGCTATTAAACTTCTTTCCTTTGTTTCAGCCACAAACTCAGGTTGCAAAATCGCTGGTTCGCCAATCACCAAATCAGGTCTAACTACCCAGAAGAAAGGCAGCTTGCTGTTTGCTAGTCCCCATGCAAACTCGACTAGATGTTCAGGTGTCATGACCGCTGTACTGCCAAAGTTCACGTACACAACTGAATTTGGCGCCTTACTGTTTAGCCACTCAAGGCATTCAGTATCTTCTTTCCATAGACTGTATCCAATATTCAAGGGGTGTTCAGGTATCTGATTGAGATGTAATTGAAGAGGGCCAATGGTATAAACCCGTGGAAGCACAGATGAGAGAGCATCCAAAACATCACGCTCCAAGGCATCAAAAGTATGAAGAATAACTGCTGAAGCTTCATGCGCTCTATCTGTTGATTCCATCACGAAGTTGAAAAATATGTCCTCACGATTTGTGGTTCGAAGGAAGGTTGGGAGATCCTTCAAACGGATATCCTTCACTCCTGGAATCCAATCGATAACCTTGTCCAAATAGCCATTTGTCAAACAACTCTCATCTACAACACGAAATTTTTTATACACATAAGCAATTAAAAGTGTTAATCATAAATATCAGTTTGTCCAATAGTTGTAAATATTTAACCTTTGAGTGGTACAAGTCCTTTTTCGACCAAAGCACGAAATTGCATACAGCCCATGAAGCTGCATGCAGCAATAGTGTAAAACAGTACTATAGGGACTTCAATTTCTTCAGCAGCTGTAATTGTGAATATGGACATGGAACCATCTGAAATTATGCAAGTCACTGGAGGATTGTTGGTTGTTGATATGGCATCATTGTTGAGTTTTTTGAGAAGGGCACGAAAGGGAGCCAAGAAATATTGTTTTCTGACAGAGTCAGCGAGCAAAATGACATCTTGGGTGGTATCTTCGTCTGAATCAGGAAGGCCATCTGGGATGGCTTCAAACCGAAAATCAGGCAAGCCGTCAAGGGAGTTGGGGCCAAGAGATCTAAGAATGCGCTTGTGGTTGAACACTGTGTTGACAAAGGTGATATGAAAACCTCTGTGGTGGAGGAGCTTTGCGAATTTAAGCATGGCCTTGATATGGCTTTGAGCTGGAATTGGAATACAAACAGCATGAGGCTTTTTAGGTACTTCCTTGGTATCCATCCTCTATTTTCTGTATGACTTTTTTTTTTTTTCTTCTTTTTTTTGTGGTGCAGATTTGCAGTGTTTGCAGAATGCACACTATTAATATTTGTAGACTAGTGAGCACTATTCATTATGTTTGTGTGAGGAGGCTAAGGTTTCGCAATAAAAAATTTTATGAGTACATGCATGGTTTGGTAACTTTCCAATGTGGGATATTTCTTCATTTTCTCACACGTTCCCCTATGGGTGGAGAATCTTCAAGCCCAATACGTGAATAACCAACTGAGTGACACAAAATACGTATGGCTGTTGAACTTTACATGTGAGCCGACTTGCTCTGATTCCATGAAGCATATACAAGATTTGTTGAAATTCCGATAGGGGACACTTCTTCACATACATTCATTCCTATTCTTATCTTCACACAAGTTCAGGCAGTGAAATAATCTTGTTTGAAGAATCTTGAACGAGTGATCCATATTAAATAATTAGTCAATTGTCTTGTATTAAAGTTTTCAGTGATTACCCTTTGGATTTTTTTGTAGGTCAAAGAAGATTGCTGCAGTGACAGAAGACACATAACCATGTAAGATAAGGAATGCAAAAGGAAAAGACGGTTTTGAAGAAAGTTCTTTTGGGGCTTTTATTGGTCAAAGTAGGATTGGGTTTGGCTATTTAGCACCAATTCCAATTTGAATTAAACATGAGGTTAAGTAACAACTGAATAATTTCAGATTATACTTTTTTATGTGAGCTTATTCTAAACCATTTAAAGAGGGGCCTAAATAGAACAAATTCAACGCCAAGCTAAACTAATGCAAATTAAACTCTATAATGGATCAAGTGTGCCATTTATGTGACTATTATCAGTGTAAATGGGCTTTTCCGATGATGACTCAAATATTCGTTTACCATCTTGATTTGTATTTGGTTATATTCCAAAGTTTCCATATAAAAGTTTTGTTTACATTTCCGGTTTTTCCAATCATGCAGCTGCAATGAATATGTGGGGTGACATATTATATTGGTCATCATGCACAACCACACTACCAAACATTCAAAGGGTTGAGGTTGGTCTACCATTGATTATATGATGCTGAGAATACCTCATACTCAGATAGTTCTCAAACTTAGAACAATAATAATATGGTAATTTTGAGATGTTTCTAAATCATGTATCGACATCAAGGTTTGTTTTTATTTTTATCATAAATGATATTTTACACTAATCAATACTAACGGAAGAGAGAGGGAGTTTTGAACTCGGAGTATAGTTGGTAGTTCTAAATTACGTACTGACATCTAGTTCTTTCTTAGTAGAACTTGATTCACTAAATTGTCTAAGTTTTTGGTTGAAGAACCATTCGGCCCAGTAGCTTCTTCTGCAAGTTTCTTCCACTCCATGACCTTATTTTTCAACTTCTTACCCTTCTCTCCCTCCATTAACTCCTTGACAAGCTTCTCTACTTCACGCCTCTTCACATCATTACTAATCTCCATCCCAATGCCCCATTCATTGCAAGTATAGTGGCAGTCCATTTGCTGGTCCCCGAAGGATGGCCAACAGAGCATAGGCACTCCTGCAGTCAGGCTCTCAATTGTTGAACCCCAACCGCTGTGAGTTAAAAATCCTCCAACTGATGGGTGGTTCAGGACTTGCTCTTGTGGGCACCAACTTGCTGTAAGACTTCTTTCTTTTGTTTCGGCAACAAACTCGGGCGGAAAAATTGCGGGTTCACCAATTACAAGATCAGGCCTGATTACCCAAAAGAAGGGCAATTTGCTATTTGCAAGTCCCCAGCCAAACTCGACAAGATTTTCAGGTGTCATGACTGCTATACTGCCAAAATTCACATACATGACAGAATCTGGTGCCTTAGCGTTTAGCCACTCAAGGCATTCAGTTTCTTCTTTCCATAGACTGTATCCAGTATTCAAGGGGTGTTCTGGTATCTGGTTGAGATGTAATTGAAGAGGGCCAATGGGATAAACAAGTGGAAGCATAGATGAGAGCGCATCCAACACATCTGTCTCCAAGGCATCAAAAGTATGAAGAACAATTGCTGAAGCTTCATGAGCTCTATCCGTTGCTTTCATCGTGAAGTTAAATAGGATGTCATCCGGATTTGTGGTTCGAAAAAAAGTTGGGATATCCCTTAAACGAATATCTTTCATTCCAGGAATCCAGTCTATAACTTTTTCCAGATATCCATTTGTCAAACAGCTCTCATCTACAACACGAAAAATTTCATTTGCATGTTTCAAAAATAAGAAATAAAGAAATAACCAAAAATTAAGCAGTTTCTTCAATAGTTGTATATATTTCACCTTTGAGTGGTGCAAGTCCTTTTTCAACCAAAGCACGAAATTGTAAAAAGCCCATGAAGGCACATGCAGCAATAGTGTAGAACTGCACCGAAGGGACTCCAATATCTTGAGCAGCAGTGACTGTGACTGGGGACATGAAACCATCTGAAACTATGCAAGTCACTGGTGGATTGTTGGATGTTGTTTTGGCATCATCGTTGAGCTTAGTGAGGAGATCACGAAACAGCGCCAGGAAAGTATGTTTTAGTATGGAATCGCAGAGTAAAGTGAGATTTTGGGTGGCATCTTCACCTGAATCTGGAATGCCATCTGGGATGGCTTCGAACCGGAAATCAGGCAAGCCATATTGGGAATCGGTTCCTAGAGATTTAAGAAACCGCTTGTGATTGAACTCCGTGTTGACAAAGGTAATATGGAAACCTCTACTGTGCAGGAGTTTTGCAAATTTAAGCGTTGCCTTGATATGGCTTTGAGTCGGAACTGGAATGCAAACAGCGTGAGGCTTAGTAGCTACTGTTGTGGCATCCATTTTGGATTATGTTTGCATCGCGGTGCAGGTTGTTTATAGTGCTTGTAGTGAGCTACTGTTCAACATATATGTGGTTTAAGTTGAATGGTAGTCCAGTTTCTTGTATTTGAATTTAGAGAGATCAAGTAAATTCAGGGAGAGATGTGAAAGAAAGTAGGCATTCATTAAAAAATAGAAGACAGCAAGACAGCTACTTGATCACGAGTTCACGACTTTTCTACTAGAAACAGAGAAATGTGTACAATAATGTTAGTGTCCAGAATCTGTAGGGAAAAGTCTTTAAGATAATCTTGTTAGAGATTTACTTTTAAAATCAAAGTCGCCATGCAACCAGCGGACCTTCGATTCTTTTGTCATTTTGCGTTATAGAATATCACTTTCAGCTTTTTTGAACATTGCGAAAGGGAAATGATAAGTGCACACTTTTTTTTTTCTTCTAAACATGGATAACTATTTGATCTTGTCCGTTGTTTCTATCTTTGATTATTCAATCTGATGTTCAGAAATATAAATGGGTGAGTGAAAGGTTAAAAATAATGTGTGAAAATCAGCTCCCATGGCTAAAATATTCCGTAAGCATTTCAATTTTCATAGGTTATACTAGTAAATATGCATGCGTGTTGCTGCGGAACTTGAATGCACCAACCTTAACTACATGAATAAGACACATTTAACTTGAAAAAAATTCAACGTAATCATGAACGAATAAAAAGGATAGATAAGTGAACAGTATCGGTAAGATAAGCTTGGCTTTTATACATTCAACCGAGCTGATTACAAAAGATGTGGTTATAAAAAAAATGCTCTGTTTCCTTGAGAAAAAGAAGCAACAGCCCCGTATGCTTGACCAATGGTTCCATACTCGTTTTCAATCTGGTATAATTGAAACAACAATTAACCCATAGAAAGGTTATGTTAAGTGCTTCTGGAAAAAGGGTTTGCTGGATTGCTTTTCAGCTTGCTCGCTTTGTGGTGATATAGTGCTTGGGATTTCATGCTTGGTCCAAGAGAATGGAGAAGACTGTAGATAAACAACGGTTGAAAATTAGTAGGTTCACTACCTCAATTTAATGAAAATTCCTTGTTACAATGATCACACCAAGACAAAAATAAAGGAAGACTTCTAATCCCATGAATTAGCAAAAATTCTACTATCCTAAATTCCTAATCCCACGTGACTTCGCTGCCCCACACCTTTGTCCCCTGTCTCCCATTGACTAAAAACAGTCCCAAATCACACCAGCCAGCCATAGAAAGCCACTGGCCACATCAAATATTAAGCACGATTCAGGTAACCAAATTCAATTAACAGAGTTAAGATAATGAAATGCAAAGAACACGATAAACATAGTAAAATTCAAGAACATGATTAAGAGGATTTGAACTATATTGTGTTGAAAACTTACAGAAGCGCGAAGGTTCCAGGGTGGCAGTGGTCAGGCTGACATGGATTTAATATGAAAAGACTTTCCTTCTAAATTTATTTTGTCATGGCATACAGTTTTCAAAAAAGAAATCTTCACCAAAAAAGATGACAACACGCAACAGTAAATTTGTTAGTCATAATATATCTCAACAATCAACTCCTAAAAGTAATAAGAAAAGAAAAAGCACTAAATTGACAGGGACGAAAAGTTAAATTGATCTTTTAGCTTACATCAAGAACACTTGCTTGAGTTAGTTCTCATATTTTCCCTTTTAATCTAACAACATATATGAAATCGAAGAGAGAGGATGAGAAATTTTTACCTCTGGGTGTGTCGACCTCAAGATCGGAGGTTTGGCCTATGGATCCGCTCATGTGCAGCCTGAATCTCGTAAAGATTTTGGCTCACTTTTCTGAGACGGTGGTGCAGGCGACGGTCTTGGGGCTCTCATCTCGATGAATCTAGAGGCGGAGCATGGAGCTGTAAGGGTTCGCGGCTGGAGAGACTGAGAATGGCGAGATAGAGAATCGGCGGGGATTTGAGGGAAATTGTTAGATTATTAGTTTGGTGGACGTAGTGGCTCTATCCACTACGTAAACTTAAGGTTGTTGATGTAAGCAGTTTTAACTGCATGGCCAAATAAGCCCTAGCTTTTAGGGATCAGTAGAAGTTGTTTTCCTTTTGACTTAGTCATATACCACGTTTAGGTTAACGTTTAACATGGGTTGCATGTTTATCTTCTCCTCCGTTTGTAAGGCTTAAATAGCCTGTTTATTCTTTGATTAATGTTATGCGAAATTCCTCCCAGCTTACAAAGTTCTCATTCGTCAAACACTAGGGTTTAACATTTGGTATCAGAGCCCCCACCTGGGGCTCCTGATCAAAAGCTTGAGAGATAGCAATCTTTTGAGTGCAAAGGTACGAGAATATGGCAAGAGAAGGAAGTGGTTTTGTGCAGGCATCTATTCTAAAACTGGATGGGCATTATGACCACTGGGCAATGCTTATGGAAAATTTTCTACGTTCAAAGGAATATTGGAGTCTTGTGGAGCATGGAATCCCTAAAGCAGCAGAAGGAGCTTCACTTGCGGAGGGACAACGGAAAGTGCTCGAAGATCAAAAGTTGAAAGATCTGAAGGTCAAGAACTATTTGTTTCAAGCAATTGATCGAGCTGTCTTGGAAACAATCTTGAACAATGATACGGCTAAGGAGATTTGGGATTCGTTGAAACAGAAGTATCAAGGGACTACTCGAGTTGAACGAGCACAGCTGCAGGCACTTCGAAAGGAGTTCGAGATGCTTCACATGAAGACAGGAGAAACTGTAAATGAATTTTTTGGTCGAACTTTGACCATCGCCAATAGGAGAAAGATTAATGGTGGCAAGTTAACGGATGTAGAAGTCATTGAGAAGATCTTGAGATCGATGACTCCTAAATTTGACTATGTGGTTTGTTCCATAGAGGAATCCAAAGACTTGGATATTCTCTCAATTGATGAACTGCAAAGTAGCTTGTTAGTGCATGAGTGGCGGATGATTAGACATGGCGTAGAGGAACCAGCACTAAAGGTGACCTATGAAGAGAACTTTAGAGGAAGAGGACGTGGTTGAGGAAGCTTTCGTGGAAGAGGTAGAGGAAGAGGTCGACAGAACTTCGACAAGTCAACGGTTGAGTGCTATAATTGTCATGAATTAGGGCACTTTCAGTATGAGTGCCCTAAGAAGGACAGGGAAGCCAAGGCTAACTATGCAGAGGCTAGTGAAGAGATATTGCTAATGGCGTATGTGGATACTCAGGAGATCAAAAAAGACATTTGGTTCCTTGACTCGGGTTGCAGCAATCATATGTGTGGTAAGAGGGAGTTGTTCTCTGAATTTGTTGGAAGTTTTAGAGAAACTGTGAAACTAGGGAACAATACAAGTATGGCTGTCTTGGGGAAAGGAAATATTCGACTACAAGTGAATGGCATGACTCAGATGATCACAGGAGTGTTCTATGTACCTGCTTTGAAGAATAATCTGCTAAGTATTGGGCAGCTTTAGGAGAAAGGTCTTGCTATTCTCATTAAACACAGGAAGTGCAAGATCTATCACCCTAAGAAAGGACTAATCATGGAGACAGTTATGACTACAAATCGCATGTTCATTCTTGTTGTTCAATATCAACCCAATGATCAAGCATGTTTCAATGCCCTCACAGATGATCTAGTTCAGTTGTGGCACTGCCGTTATGGGCACTTGAGTATTGGTGGTTTAAAGACTCTACAACAGAAACAGATGGTGAGTGGACTGCCTCAAATAAAGGACTCCTCAAGAGTGTGCGAGAATTGCTTGGTAGGAAAGCAACCGAGAGATCCGTTTCCAAAAAGAAGTACTTGGAGAGTATGCCAAATCCTACAACTCGTCCATGCAGATATATGTGGACCGATCAAACCTACATCCAACAATAAGAAAAGGTATCTCCTCACCTTTATCGATGATTTCAGTTGTAAGACTTGGATCTACTTTCTAACTGAGAAGTCAGAAGCCTTTCGAACTTTTAAAGCTTTCAAAAGTCTAGTTGAAAACGAAACTGATGCAAGTATTAAAAGTTTGCGCACGGATCGTGGTGGGGAGTTCACATCACATAAGTTTGATGAGTTCTGTGTTGAGAATGGGATTCAAAGACAATTGACAGCAGCTTACACCCCGCAACAAAACGGAGTAGCTGAGCGCAAGAATCGGACCATCATGAATATGGTACGTAGCTTATTGACCGATAAGAACATGCCTAAGACTTTTTGGCCAGAAGCAGCAAACTGGACAGTTCATGTGCTCAACAGGACCCACGTTTGCAGTTAAAAACAAAACACCTGAGGAGGCATGGAGTGGTACGATACCATCTGTAAGTTATTTCAAGGTTTTTGGCTGCATTTCATACGTACATATTCCAGATAACAAGAGGACCAAGCTAGATGATAAAAGTGGGAAGTGTGTGCTACTTGGGATAAGTGAAGGACCAAAGGCCTATCGACTATTTGATCCAATCTCGCAGAGGATTCTAATCAATCGTGATGTTCGATTTGATGAGAATAGTAGCTGGGATTGGGATGAGCATCGTCATGAAGATGTCATAGCAGATTTGGAATGGGACGTTGAAGCAGATAAGGAACTTGAGGCTGATGAAGTTGACAGTCAGGGAGGAGATAAAGATGGACCACATGGAAATGGAAGTGAAAATGGAGATGGAAGTGGCACAAGCAACAATAGTGGATCAGGTGAAGTCTCAGAAGCAAAGATATCCAGCCCAGCAGAAAGAAGACCTAGGGCTCCACCAGTATGGATGAGAGATTATGTGACAGGGGAGGGATTATCTGATGAAGAAGACATGGTGCATTTGGCTCTCTTAGCAGACAATGATCCAACTTATTACAATGAAGCTGTGAAGAGTGCAAAATGGAGGAAAGCTATGGATGTTGAAATAGCAGCTATCGAGAGGAACAACACTTGGGAATTGACAGACTTACCTCAAGGAGGGAAGACAATTGGAGTTAAATGGGTCTACAAGACTAAACTGAATGAGAATGGAGAGGTGGACAAGTACAAAGCATGGCTGGTGGCTAAGGGGTATGCTCAAGAATATGGGGTTGATTATGCTGAAGTCTTTGCTCCTGTGGCTCGGCTAGATACCATCCGAGTTGTTGTTGCACTTGCTGCTCAAAAGGAATGGACAATCCATCAGTTGGACGTGAAAAGTGCCTTCTTACATGGAGAAGTTGATGAAGAGGTGTTTGTAGAATAGCCACCTGGATATGTGCAGAGAGGTAAGGAGCAGAAAGTTTATAAATTACGGAAAGCTTTATATGGACTTAAACAAGCCCCTCGTGCTTGGTATAGTCGTATAGAAGCTTATTTCTCGAAGGAAGGATTTGTGAAGTGTCCCTATGAACACACTTTATTCATCAAAGTTGGAGATGGAGGTAAAATTCTCATTGTTTGTCTTTACGTTGATGATCTTATTTACACTGGCAATGATGAATGCATGTTCATTAAGTTTAAGCAATCGATGATGAATGAGTTCGAAATGACTGATCTTGGTAAGATGAGATATTTCCTCGGAATTGAGGTATTGCAACAGGTAGATGAAATATTTATCTGTCAAAAAAGGTATGCTCAGGAAGTGTTGGAAACGTTTAAAATGGAGAACTGCAATCCAATGCACAATCCCATTGTTCCAGGCACCAAGCTAACAAAAGATGTAATTGGTGAGAAGGTTGATAGCACATTCTATAAACAGATCGTGGGGAGCCTCATGTATCTCACAGCCACTCGGCCGGACACTATGTTTGTGGTAAGCTTAATCAGCAGGTTCATGGAGAGTCCAACAGAAATGCATTTGGCAGCGGCAAAGAGGGTTTTGAGATACTTAAAGGGCATGATCAGCCTTAGAATTCTTTACAAAAAGGGAGGACACACTGAGCTCAGAGGCTATTCAAATAGTGACTATGCAGGTGACTTAGATGATAGAAAGAGCACATCGGGGTACTTGTTCATGCTAAGTTCAGGAGCTGTGTGTTGGTCTTCCAAGAAGCAGCCTGTGGTCACGTTATCAACAACTAAAGCCGAATTCATAGCAGCAGCTTCATGTGCTTGTCATGCAACCTGGTTGAGGAGAATAATGAAGGAATTAGGTCAAGCTCAGCAAGATTCTACAACAGTTTTCTGTGACAACAGTTCAACAATAAAGCTCTCCAAGAATCCTGTAATGCATGGCCGAAGCAAACATATAGATGTATGGTTTCACTTTCTTCGTGAAATGACTAAGAACAAAATCGTGCAGCTGGTTCACTGCAACACCCAGGAGCAAGTAGCAGACATTTTAACCAAGCCTTTGAAGACTGATGTTTTTCTAAAGATGCGTGGGCTTATGGGAGTGTGCCTGGAACCAGGTGTAAACTGATTGCTTAGCAATAGCAATCCGTTTAAGGGAGGATGTTAGATTATTAGTTTGGTGGACGTAATGGCTCTATCCACTACATAAACTTAGGGTTGTTGATGTAAGCAGTTTTAACTGCATAGCCAAATAAGCCCTAGCTTTTAGGGATCAGTAGAAGTTGTTTTCCTTTTCACTTAGTCATATACCACGTTTAGGTTAACGTTTAACGTGGGTTGCATGTTTATCTTCTCCTCCGTTTGTAAGGCCTAAATAGCCTGTTTATTCTTTGATTAATGTTATGCGAAATTCCTCCCAGCTTACAAAGTTCTCATTCGACAAACACTAGGGTTTAACAGAAATTACAGAGTGAGAAAGGGGAGGGATGGGGGGATTTGATGGGTGGTTACAGAGAGAGTCGGGAGAGAAAAAGAGTGAATGAAAAGGGGATGGAAACGGATGGAAAAGTAGCCGAAGCAGAGCAATCCACGATGCTTGAGTTATTTAAATACATATTTCATGCAATCCAGTAGCCAAATGCTTAACTCAGGTGAAAAAATAAAAATCAAACTTTAGCAATTAGATAAAGGTCAATAACAATGTACCATTAGAATGGCTTACAATACACAATCTTTTGTGATTTTACTACTTCTACAACATGAACAAACCAGTATCAAATCACTTACTCCAACAAAAAATCACAACACAACAAATCACTTGCCCCAAAAAATTGTAGAGAACAAGCCTGCATAAACATGCAGGCAAAGCAAAAAATTATAATAAATCAACAATTGTCAAATAGAAAAGAGAATGTATTTAAGGTTGAAATAGAGTAGGCTTAACATTTTGTCCTGGTAATTATTTCCAACTCTTCCATGTATCGCAATTATATTCTTACTCTTCCAAATCACCCCTTTTTTTTTTTTTTTTTTTACCAAACACTCCGCAACATCCATTGGAACATCCAGAACACCATCATCAGAACTCCTAGAGCTCTAAATGATTTTCTCCTATTTTAATTAACTCCACATTCTTTAAACATATTATGACATGAAATACGAAATTAATATGGAACAGAAATCTATACCACATCATGAAAGTACAAACACATGTTAAAGCTATCCAAAGCACTGTACTATCCATTATGAACACCTTTGTTATCTATGTATCACATTCACATGTCTTTTCATTAAATATCCAAATCAATGCAAACAAAATCAGATTAGATACTTATTCACCAATGTTACTGATAAATACTTGTAATCAATAAGGAAACTAAAAGCAAAGTTGTATTCTAACCAAAACTAAAAAGCCGCAACGAAACCCCTTTGCAAAGTAGCTCATGAATAAGATCAAGCACCTACGCCTTAACACGTTGCCAAACTCAGATGCGTGATCTTCGTCCATATGCTCTATTACCTATGATTTCCAATCAGAGCAAGCAACATTATAAACCAATTACAGTACAACGGGGGCACCTGATTTCTGTGCAAACAGGAATATTTACAGGTTTTATGTGGCAGAACTTTCTAAAGAAGGGTTTGAAAGACAAATATGTTAGAAATTACCTCTACGCAAGCGCCAATATCAAATCCACTCAACCGGGAATCAAAATTTGTAATTGAACCATCATAGAGAATTGCAGATTTGATGGCTGACGTACTGCATCTAAATTTGAGTCAAACTTGGAATGAAGTATCTGCAATATTAACAGAAAATTAAGATTCATGGCTAAGGCAAGTGTTTAACTAAACAAACTTTATGGCAAAACAAACAAAGATCAATATCTTAAATCAGGACACTTATACATAAGGAAGAAACAGTTCTATTTCATTTGTTGTACCCACCATGACCTAGCACCACACGGATAAGGTTGATCCAAACAAATGATCCTTTAAAATTAGATAAAACAACTACTAATGCTCCCGACCATAAATTAGAACATACTCTTAGTCTTAAAAAAGTGTATCACATGTCTACTGGCAAGGCAAGATGTCACCCACTGAGTCTTCTGGTGACAAAATCACCAGCAACTAACTATATGTATATGACCCGGAATATGTATCGCATCATTCTTTAGTGCTTATCAAGAGTATTTTCTATTAGCATGTTTACGAATTCTCTAGTATGTTGATAAAAAAGTAAACAAATTCTCTTATGTTTTCAGTAATCGTACTTGGTGGTGAAACAAACAATGTTTACTGATGCATTCTAATTAAGGACAAATAATAATCCGCCAATGGAATTAGATCTACGCAGTCAATTGAACATGTCAAGTAAAATTCTAATTAAGGATAAATAATAATAATCCAACTTACTTTGTGTGTAAATTTCTGATAATGATGAATGTTTATAATGTGTGCATTTTATAGGTTAGGACAATGAGTTCTACAAAGAGTCCCATGCACAAGAATTTTGGCATGACTATTATAATAAATTAATAATCATGGATTATAGTAAACAAAAATATGTTACCAACTAACAATTTTGTTACCCTGGTGTCTGGAGAATATCAGGGTCAGGCATGTCAGTAAACAAAAATAACTTACCAACTAACAATTTGAAAGAGTCAACGTTTGAGGATACAAACTTGAATAGAGTAGTTTGATCAAATTCACTATTCATATAACTCTCACAAAAGGTGAAAATGTGTTTCGGAAGTTATACCTATGTAAACTCAAATCATATTCAAATACAATAAGACTTGTTTCTTTTAAAACTATAACTGACCATCCATCTAATCTGACTGTCATACTCAAATTTCTAACCTTTGAGACAAGTAGACGAAGAACGTCCAAATTGATGAGAAAATCGGTACACAAATTTTACGAAGACTAAACTGTCATTACATACATGTCCAATATGAATGGAGTAGCAAGTAAAAACATGAAGAAAGGACGGGCATAAGCAATCAAAATTATTTTTAGAAAGAGAATTAAAAAAAGGCCTTGTAAACTAGAGTTTCTTTGCTAAAATTACATGACAAGATGACAAGGCCGGCTGGTTGGAATCTTCAAACAGAATTCGTGATTATCAAAAAGCTTGTTGAGAGTATTAATAAGATACTTGATAATGAAAGTTCAAATTTTTCTCTTATCAAGAAAAGATTAAAGTTCAATTCTATCCCGGATCTTACGGTAAATTTCAGGCCGTTTTGAAAATGTGTTTTCAAAACTAAAAACGGCTTTAAATTGTCAGCTCGCCGAATCCTTTTCTTGAGGATCTGGGGATCTTGTAATCATATATGTTCATCGTACATCGTGCGGTCAGTTTTCATTAGGTACTATTTATATTTAATTTTAAATTTAAAATGATTTATGACCGCACAATGTACGATGAACGGATATAATTACAAGATCTCTAGATCCCCAAAAAATGGATCCGCCTTTTCCTCAGAAGTGCTTCTGACAATATTTGGTAAAAAAAATTAAGAACATACAAAAGCTTTTGGTTACCTAAAAAACACTTGCAATTTTGTTAAAATTATCGATACTTTTCTAATAGAAGTGATTTTACTCAAAATACATTTGAGCATAAGTACTCTAAAAGAAGTATTTTGGAGCGGACTTTTATTTCTCCATCTTTTTATTTTTCATTATAATCATAGTTATCTAAATGTATTAAATAAATTAACAGTATAGATACTAAGTAGTATATTCAGGATGAACCGTCCATTTATTTAATATATTTGGATGACTAAACAAACTCTAATTCAAATAATTTTTGCAGAGATAATCTTCAAATGACTAAACAAACTCTAAGTCAAATGCTATTTCGGCCTAGCAGTCTGCTAAAACATAAACAAACCTTTTGACCAAGTCCCAATAACTCTACCCTAAGAAGTTTTACACTTCCCTTCATTTGTAGAGGACCCTCACTAGCTATGTCTCAATTCTTAGTGTGATTTCTTGTTTGCAAGGGAATGGCGACCATGGGAACACAACAATTCGTATGTTACTCATAATTTTAAAGGCTTGAAAGCTTTTGCTCATGCCGCCCCTATTTTCTATGCATTTTAGCACAATATTTGTAGATAGAGTAAAGTTTGGGAGATCAAATTTTTAAATCAAATTTGTCAATCAATTGATGTGTTATCAATAAAAAATAAGCATATTAATCAACAATTAAGTAATAATCTATTCATCACTATTCACAACATTTGATTTACAAAATTTGATTTATAAATTGAATCTTTATAGCATTACCCTTGTAGATAACTTCGTGGATTATTATTGCACAAGCCAAAAAAGCGAGGATAGGTATTGAGTCATAATTAAGTTGTCGCATGGGTTAGCTCAAATGGTGAAGTTGAGTGAGACTTGAACCTTTTGCTAATTAATCACATTGAACTTCGACAATATGGTGCAAATTAAGTATTTTCCATCATTTCGTTATTTTTGTCACAAAACCTAGTGATCGACCCAAAGTCACATGTCTAATCACAAAGCCAGGTTAGATGTCAACATATGACTTAAACAACCTCATGTTAGATCCTTAACATGAATCTGGATTCTATCTGGATCCTCTTTGTGAGGATTCTGGGAATCCGTAAACCATATCTGTTCATCGTATATTATGTGATCAGGAATTATTTTAAATATTTTTATTGATTGCAATAATTAAACTTGTTTCTAAATATGATTAAACTGCGTCAAATGTAAAAATAAAATTTTCATTTAAGAGTAAGACGCCAAATTCGTAATAATATGATTTGACCACATTCAAATAAAAGAGATGATGATTATTCATTAACAAAACATCTCAATTTTGGGCATTTGTCTCCCCCCTAACGTGCAAGTAAATAGGATTACGAGTCAATTGCATCACCAAAGCAAAACAAACCCTCATGAATTGCAAATTTGCAATACAGTACTTTCCATTTTTGGAATCCAATTTGAAAAGACAAAAGGCCGCTACCTTCACGCAATGTCATAATGTAGAAAGTGTGAGAGAGGTAGAGAAAATTAGACGGAGAAAGAGAGTGAAAGAATTTCTCACGTGGCCAAATACCTAGCCAACATTTGGGGTACGTTTTTTATGCTTTTTTTAATTTTTTTAATTTTATCAAACACTCTCCTATAACAAACCATGAAAACTCTGATCCCTTCGTCGATACAGTTCTCTAGCCCAACCACCCCCGCCACCCCACACCCGCCCCCCCGCCCCCCCCCCCCCCCCCCCCCCCCCCCCCCAAAAACAAAATTTTGTAGCTTTATTCTTATGATTTGATTTAATTCTCAGATGGAATAGTAGTCTCTCCTCCTACTGGCGGCTATCGGAAACGGAGTGCAGCTTGTACGTTCAACTTTCTCCGATGGCCACTTCTGAACCACAGTCGTATTCTCACAAAACTCCAACGTAAGTTCATCAGTGTTTTCGTGCCCAAAATGCTATGATATTTTTCCGCATTCACACGCACATAAGTGAGTCTTAACTGTGCATGTATGAGATTGACGATGAAATTCACACGTACACTAGTGGATGAGAAGTTATGATCATTTTGTGCGTGTGTGGACGATTTCAAAAACTTAGCCTTTTCCTTTTGGTTTTATAAGAGATTGCATTTGATATATCATGCCAAAAATTTGAAATGACCAAACAAATGTTTAATTCTATCTGTTTGCTTGTTGATATCTCTTTTGGAAACTGGAAGAAGACTTCCCTGATATCTCTTTGCTTTCCCTCTTATCTTTGTTAGGAGTGAGTCAACTCGGAGCAAAGAACAAATTACGATTTTCTATAATGGACAAGTTTTTGTTTGCGACGTGACGGAACTTCAGATACTTCGTGTATTGTCTGAAATAGGTTTGCATTTTTAGGGGAAAAAAACTGTAGGTTCTCTGCAATGTGTATGAATATGATCCGTTTCTTTATATCTCATTCGTTTATTTCATGTTGCATTCAATGGAACGTGGTACTGTAGATTTTCCAGTAAATATATGAGAGTCAATGCTATACGACAACATTGTATCAACCAAAAAACAGAAGAGGAAACTGAGAAATGAAAGGAACAGAACAATTAGAGTTGTGTGCCATAAAGTATGGTTTCAAAACTGAAAAAGTTCTGGGTAGAAAAGAGGATGTGCAACAGAAGTATTAGTCAACAAGTAGCTTGAGCCCAACCCTGTCAACCCAACATAAATGTTATTAATCAGTAGTCAATTATTATTGGTTTTAAGTTTTTCATGTTTTTGGTACATCTGGAGAGAATGATTTCGATCTTGATTATGTTTTGGAAGGATAATTAGGATTTCAATCTAAAATATGCTTTGACCTTTATTTTTCAAATTAATGAAAACTTTATCTTTTACAACAGTAACATTGGATTTACTAAGCATAAGAGATACTATAGGGTTGGAAGGATGACCTCCACGACTGTGCCACAATGTAGTCTTAACAGTGTGTCCAAGGCATGAAATTGCTGGATAAGGTTGTTTCTGAGATGCAGGGGAAGAACAGGAAGGAATGGTATAAGGTATAGTCCATTGTTGCATAGTCCTTTATATATGATTCTCCCTGTGGCCTTGTCCTGAATCCAAAAACAAAATGCATCAAATATGCACCAACAATTATTGTCCAAGGAAATTCTGTAAACTGACAGCAAGTTATGAGTTATTCTATGAACGTAAAGAAAAAAATTTAATTTGATAGACTGCATAGGAATTTTGAAAGTGGAATGGCCAAAATGAGTGATTGATAAACCTTCACCATTTGCTGTTTGTAGTGTGTCATTATGAGGATATGGATAAGCCAAGGATAAATTGTGCAAATCATCAGTCAAATGATTGGTAGCACCAGAATTTGTCAACCATACTTATGGTGAAGCTGAATTTGATGAAGAAGATGGCATAGATGGCATATTATAAGAAGATGATGCATTTATATAAATTGGCAACTGAGAAGATTGCATATTTATCTAGAAGACATATTATTCATCACATGAGGCATAGTATTAAAAAACTGAGGATATTGCATTCATGGCAGTCATCTGTGATCCAGAAGTCTTGGCTTTATTTCTATAGAAACATGTCTTGGCAGTGTGATTGGTTGTATCACAAATCTAATAGGACTCAGAAGATTCAGCATCTCTATATAAGCACAATTGACAGACGAATAACCTTGTTGAGAACACAATTGACAAACAACATTGGTAGATGAGGCAACACAATTGAACTGAGAAGGATTTCCAAGAATACCAGGAGCATAATCATGAACAATAGGTTTGGAACTATAGTACCACTAGCCTTCATTATTGTAATGTATGTTCCCCTGATTATTCGATTTCCCTTTGCTTTTGTATTTGGAACGATTGCCACGATTGAAAAAAGTTGGACTGCCCAGAATTCCCACTGTGATTTCCATTGTTAAAACCATTACTGCCATTTTGGAACCCAAAAGTACCATTAGAATTCCCATAGGAAAACCTAGAACTACCATTGTGACTTTGATTTTGAGCCAGCAAAGTAGTGGGAAAATTGACATAAGAGTTACTCTCAATAATTGCTTCCTCAGCAAGCAACAGAGCAGAGCATGAAACTCCTCGAGTGAAATCACACGTTCATGACCACGAATAGCACACTGGAACATGTTATATTTAGCTGGAATACCATTTAAAGCCAAGATAACAATGTCCTCATCAACAAAAGTAACCCCTGCTGCAGAGAGATAATCTCTAGCCTCCTCGATAATCTCTAGCCTCCTTGATGCGCTGAAGATATTGACTTACGGAATCAGCCCCTTTCTTGATAATTTGTAAGTCAGACCGAAAATGGAAGTCTTTGTAACTGTGGAAAATTAGTCTTGAAGACCCACCCATAAATCTCTTACATTGGTGCTCCCAATTGCACAAGAAATTGCAATCGAAGACAAATTAGCAGTGATAAGTTGCATTAGTGCTTTATCATGCATCTTCAAAACTTTAAACTCATCAGATTCAACTCTGAAATTGGAACTAGCGGATACAACCTCTGAATCAGCAGAACTTGAAGAAGAAAACTGAGAGGGACAAGGATTTGATCCATCCACAAAATCCATAATGCCATACACTTCGAGCATCAATTTCATCTGAAAATGCCATTGAAGATAGTTGGTATCATCCAACTTAGCAGCAACAGATGAAAAAAATATTATGAAAATTATGAATATTATGCTTTGGTTGATTTGCTATTTTACGCATGTCCTAGGGAGATCGTGAAAGAAAATAGGCAAGGTTTTGAAGAAATCGTTTTACGCATGACTTATTAGTTGATTTGCCTACTGCCTAGGCCACCCCCATGACCATGAATTTCAAAAAGTAATTCATTGATTAGTATTTGCAAACGTAAAATTAGTTGAGCAAGGCAGAAAGACAGCACTTGATCACGAGTTCACGACTGTCCCCTTATTTAATAGAGAAAGAGAACTGCTTTACAATAATAGAGAAAGAGAACTGCTTTACAATAATGTAAGAATTAAAACTGGGTAGGAAACATATATGCTTTACAATAATTCGGTTTGTCATTTACCTTCAAAACCAAAGCCGACTGATAATTACGAAAGATGCTTTACAGAATCACTTTTGTTTTACGTTACCGAAATATTACTTTACCATCTAAATTGTCATTGGTTACATGCACTTGTTCTTCTATTCCTGTTAATAGTGCTGGAGTATTTATCCAAATTTCGATAAGAAATCGATGTTATCTTGTATCTTTGGCAGGAGAAAATCTTATGTGCCACAATGTATGATCCCAGTGACAGGGTAGAATTGCATACATAGCAAATAATGTATAACATTAAAATGTTCAACCCGAAATTAATATCTAGACAAAATTGAAGATGGTGGCAGGCTAAACATGTTGCCAATTCATCGAACCAATAACATCTAGGAATGCAGTGCATGTTTCTTGGTTGTTCTTGTGCAGAACATCTAGACTTTTCTTACAATTGAAATTGATTCACTAATTTTTCCAAGTTTGCAGATGAAGAACCGTGTGGACCATTGGCTTCCTCTGCCAATTTCTTCCACTCCATGGCCTCATGCTTCATTCTCTTACCCTTCTCTCCTTGCATCAGCTCTCTAACAAGCTTCTCCACTTCATCTCTCTTCACATTTTTATCAATCTCCGTACCAATGCCCCATTCTTTGCAAGTACAGTGACAGTTTGTTTGCTGATCAGCAAAGAAAGGCCAACACAACATGGGCACTCCTGCAGACACACTTTCCATTGTCGAATTCCAACCGCTGTGTGTCAAAAATCCTCCAACTGATGGGTGGTTAAGGACTTGCTCTTGAGGGCACCAACTCGCTATTAGACTTCTTCCTTTAGTTTCATCCACAAACTCAGATGGAAAAATTGCTGATTTACCAATTACCAAGTCAGGCCTAATTACCCAGAAGAAAGTAAGCTTGCTCCTTGCAAGTCCCCAGCCAAACTCCACAAGTTGTTCCGGTGTCATGACCGTTATGCTGCCGAAATTCACATAAACAACCGAGTTTGGCTTCTTATCGTCCAGCCAGGGGAGACACTCAGCTTCTTCTCTCCACAGACTGTATCCCAAGGACTTCAAAGGATGTTGTGGCATCTGATTGAGAAGTAACGGGAGAGGGCCAATGGCGTAAATGGGTGGATACATACTTGAGAGGCCATCCAAAACATCTTGCTCCAGTGCATCAAAGGTATGTACAATAATTGCTGAAGCTTCATGAACTCTACTCATTACTTCAAGGATGTTGTTAAAAATTTTGTCATCGGGATTTGTTGTCACAAAGTCGTTGGGGAGATCCCTCAAACGGATATGCTTCATTCCTGGAATCCAATCTATTATCTGGTCTAAAAAGCCATTCGTGAAACTGCTCTCATCTACAAACACCCAAGCAATACTTAATTAATAAAATTAAAAATAAAATCATAGGCATGTTTACGAAATTAAAGAGCAACTCTCTTGAGAATTTTTTTATTTACCAATGCCACAACTATCGTCCATGAACTTTAGATCAATTGGTCACTGGCGGTGGTGTATTGATTAAAAAAGAAATATCAAATAATAACGAAATTATACACTGCTAATTCTTTACCTTTAAGCGGTGCAAGTCCTCTTTCCACCAAAGCAGGATATTTCATATAGCCCATAGAGCTGCTTGCTGAAAATGTAAAGAAGAGTGTAATGGGAATGCCAAGTTGTTGAGCTGCAGTGGTTGTGAAAGCCATGAAACCATCTGAAACAATGAGAGTAACTGGAGGAGTAGTACGGTTGAGTTTCTTTATGAGGTCAAGAAAAGGTGCCAAGAAATTGTTTTTGACGGAATCTGCAAGCAAATTGAAGTCTTGGGTGGAATCGTCATCTCTATCCGGAAGGCCATCTGGGATTGTTTCAAACTGAAAATCACCAGGCAAGCCGTCAAGGGAGTCGGGTCCTAGAGATTTAAGAAAGCGCCTGTGATTGAACTCGGTGTTGACATAGGTTATACGAAAACCTTTATGGTGGAGAAGTTTTGATAATTGAAGCATGGCCTTTATGTGACCTTGTGCCGGAACCGGGATACAAACAGCATGAGGCTGATTAGCTTCTCCTACAGAAACCATCTTGGATTCTGTGTTTGCCTATTTGTTTGCTTTGCAGTGCTTGCACAAATTTCGACTATTTATAGTGCTTGTGATCTACTTTTCAAATGATCTTGTTTGAATAAAGAAAAATAAGTAATCTAAGCTGAATAAGTTGTCAATTGTGTTTTGATTTGTATAAGAATTTTATAGGTCAAAAAAGAGAAGCGTAGCTGAAGGAGATGAAGAAGCAAAGTTGAACTGGGCTCTTCGGATGGTCCTTCTACCTGTTTTTCTTTCTTTCTTGTCTAACTCGGGCTCGTTTGGATGTGCTTTTGAAAAAGCCAAAAACACTTCCAAATAAGTAAATGCATTTCAGTTTGAAAAAATGGTCATTTGGCAAATATTTCTACGGATCGGATCGTTGAAATACATTACAAAATGGATCTCACACTGTATGTAGAAAATGTGTTAAAAAAGATCTTGTCATGGTTCCGTTCCGTCCCCAAAAAATGTGAAACAAAAATAAGTTACCAACTAACAATTTGAAAGAGTCAACGTTTGAGGATACAAACTTGAATAGAGTAGTTTGATCAAATTCACTATTCATATAACTCTCACAAAAGGTGAAAATGTATTTCGGAAGTTATACCTATGTAAACTCAAATCATATTCAAATACAATAAGACTTGTTTCTTTTAAAACTATAACTGATCGTCCATTTAATCTGACTGTCATACTCAAATTTCTAACCTTTGAGACAAGTAGACGAAGAACGTCCAAATTGATGAGAAAATCGGTACACAAATTTTACGAATACTAAACTATCATTACATACATGTCCAATATGAATGGAGTAGCAAGTAAAAACATGAAGAAAGGACGGGCATAAGCAATCAAAATTATTTTTAGAAAGAGAATAAAAAAAAGGCCTTGTAAACTAGAGTTTCTTTGCTAAAATTACATGACAAGATGACAAGGCCGGCTGGTTGGAATCTTCAAACAGAATTCGTGATTATCAAAAAGCTTGTTGAGAGTATTAATAAGATACTTGATAATGAAAGTTCAAATTTTTCTCTTATCAAGAAAAGATTAAAGTTCAATTCTATCCCGGATCTTACCGTAAATTTCAGGCCGTTTTGAAAATGTGTTTTCAAAACTAAAAACGGCTTTAAATTATCATCTCGTCGGATCTTTTTCATGAGGATCTGGGGGATCTTGTAATCATATATATTCATCGTACATTATGCGATCAGTTTTCATTAGGTACTATTTATATTTAATTTAAAATTTAAAATGATTTATGACCGCACAATGTACTATGAACGAACATAATTACAAGATCTCTGGATCCCCAAAAAATGGATCCGCCTTTTCCTCAGAAGTGCTTCTGACAATATTTGGTAAAAAAAAATTAGGAACATAGAAAATCTTTTGGTTACCTAAAAAACACTTGCAATTTTGTTAAAATTATCGATACTTTTCTAATAGAAGTGATTTTACTCAAAATAAATTTGAGCATAAGTCCTCTAAAAGAAGTATTTTGGAGCGGACTTTTATTTCTCCATCTTTTTATTTTTCATTATAATCATAGTTATCTAAATGTATCAAATAAATTAATAGTGTAGATACTAAGTAGTATATGCAGGATGAACCGTCCATGTATTTAATATATTTGGATGACTAAACAAACTCTAATTCGAATAATTTTTGCAGAGATAATCTTCAAATGACTAAACAAACTCTAAGTCAAATGCTATTTCGGGCTAGCAGTCTGCTAAAACAGAAACAAACCTTTTGACCAAGTCCCAATAACTCTACCCTAAGAAGTTTTACACTTCCCTTCATTTGTAGAGGACCCTCACTAGCTATGTCTCAATTCTTAGTGTGATTTCTTGTTTGCAAGGGAATGGCGACCATGGGAACACAACAATTCGTATGTTACTCATAATTTTAAAGGCTTGAAAGCTTTTGCTCATGCTGCCCCTATTTTCTATGCATTTTAGTACAATATTTGTAGATAGAGTAAAGTTTGGGAGATCAAATTTTTAAATCAAATTTGTCAATCAATTGATGTGTCATCAATAAAAAATAAGCACATTAATCAACAATTAAGTAATAATCTAATCATCACTATTCACAACATTTGATTTACAAATTGAATCTTTATAGCATTACCCTTGTAGATAACTTCGTGGATTATTATTGCACAAGCCAAAAAAGCGAGGGTAGGTATTGAGTCATAATTAAGTTGTCGCATGGGTCAGCTCAAATGGCGAAGTTGAGTGAGACTTGAACCTTTTGCTAATTAATCACATTGAACTTCGACAATATGGTGCAAATTAAGTATTTTCCATCATTTCATTATTTTTGTCACAAAACCTAGTGATCGACCTAAAGTCACATGTCTAATCACAAAGCTAGGTTAGACGTCAACATATGACTTAAACAACCTCAAGTTAGATCCTTAACATGAATCTGGATTCTATCTGGATTCTCTTTGTGAGGATTCTAGGAATTCGTGAATTATATTTGTTCACCGTACATCATGTGATCAGGAATTATTTTAAATATTTTTATTTAAAATTAAATACAAACCGAAGTACCTGACAAAAACTGACCGCATGATGCATAATGAACAGACATGATTTACGAATTCTCAAGATCCTCACCAAAAGGATCTGGGATCCTGTTGGCCTTAAGAAAGCTATATATAGTAATAGTACGTACTTTCAAATTTTGCTTCAATGTGTAAGATTCTTTCCACTGATTAACTAGTTTGGCTTAGTCATATAAATTCAACTTCGACCTAATCTTGTCACACTCAAACCTAATTAAGGTCTAATCATACAATCCCAAGTATTTTCTGGTAACATGATGGCACCAAGATATTGGAGTTAGATATAATCCAAATTTAGCAAGGAACAAAATAGTTAGGAACAGTTGAGATCCAGTAATAGCAATAAAACATGGCATGTGCAGAAACGATGTGACATAATATACCAAAGTGCACCACCTCCTTTAAATATACTCCAAAGTTTTACAGCATATAGAGGAAATATCACATTTTTCACACAACTTAAACACACAAATTACAAATATACTGTAAAGTTTTACAACATATGGAGGAAATTAATCGGAATGGTGGCCAGCCACCTAACGTCTAGGGTAGACCCAGACGACGCTAAGTGGAACTTAAACGATGCTAGATGGAGATTTTGAAAACAGTAGTTAGAAAGGCATCATATCTTATTTCCTTTACAAAACCAGTAAAAAACCAAGCAAAGCGGTACCATCTCATAAGACTTGCAACTCCCATTTGCACATGATTGGCTTTCGGCTCTCATGCATTTGTAATGAAGGGGAAACAAATTTAAGCACGTGCCGTTTGAGGGACAATTTCCACGTGCCTTAAGTTAATGAAAACAACTTTTCCTTTTGAGAAAGGAGGACTTGACTACCTAGATGAGTGACAATATGTAATGTGAGTGAAAGTACGTACATGATAATTGCATGCATGTGGGCTGCAATACATGCCTATGTTGTATGACAAGGACGTTTGTGGAACAAGTCTTATCCATGCCTATGTTGTTTATTTCCCTTCTTGTTTTAAAAATGTCCATTTTCTTATTATATGTGAGAATTTAAAGACTGGTCTACAACATTCACAAGTATTTATTATTATCACTATTCATGAATTAGATATGTTTTGTAAATGTCATTACAACATGTTTGATGTTTAAATAATGATAGTAGTGAGTATTTACAAGTATTGTAACAAAATTTGACATTTTAAGTGAGTCTAGATATTAGCAATCATTCGTATAATCAATTTATTATACTTGTGTACAGAAAATGGTTCTCACTACACCCTTGGAACCCACTAAATTCCTCATCCAAACAAACCCTTTGTGTTTTTGGATTTTAGAGAAACATATCGAAAGATATTTTTGTTGATTGCAATAATTAAACTTGTTTCTAAATATGATTAAACTGCGTCTAATGTAAAAATAAAATTTTCATTTAAGAGTAATGTTGGAGCAATATTAGAAAATATGAAAAATAACAATATAAATGCAATGATAATAATCATAAAAAATTTCACAACATCAATTATATATGAGATTAATATAAACAACTAAAGAGAAAGTTAGAAAAACTGACAAACTTGGAGATTGAGGCTTGCATAAATGCAATGTCCTAAAGATAGAATTTCGCCCCTACTCTTGTGCTTGTAATTCGGTAGGCGTCTATCTCCCAGGATTCAACAATCTATAATCCAAAGTCAAAGCACTTCAATCTTCGGACTCTGGCAAACTTTATATATTCCATACTCTCAAGACACGACTCGGAATTTGACTCACGAAGCATGAGAGAAACAAAGTGGGGAAACCCTATTTCTCAAGAGTAAAAATTAACTCTAATTTTTCTATCATTTATACCAATGGTTTCATGGGTTTAAATAGAATCAAATTTCTACTTATAAAAGAGATGTAACTTTTCATCTATAAGTATACATCACTTATCAAGGAATACACCTAAACAACATAACCTTTCCAAGAAATTGGTTAACAATATTTTTCATTCAATTATTAAAATTATATATTACAATATATAATTTCCAACAATCCCCCACATGAATGAAAAATTAGGAAGAATTTGAGAGTACAGACGGACAAGAGATGCATCGGGAGAGGTGTCTTTTGGACTTGAACCTACCCTAATGAATACTTATCGGATTTACTTGGTGACGCAGTAAATATAGAATCTTGAACTGTTCACCGTAGTAATAAACCGAGACAATAAGCAACACACATCACTAATCCTAATATATTCTGGTTCATACGGTTGTGTTCATTTTGGTCCTGAACAAATCTCAGATTCATGAGAGCTTTAGAGAATTTAGCCATCTCATACTCATAAAAGCGACCCACATAACAGAAAATTTCCAGGCCACACTCCTGTTAGCCATGAATAATAGTCGATCAATATGTGGATTACAGGGATGGTCAACCGGTACATCTTTATCTTTATCTTTATCTTTATATATAAAGCCAGCAGTCTTATTTTGAGGTCACTGGCTTCATCAAAAATATTTGGATAAAAATGCCTCTAAACAAAAAAAATATTCAAAAACAACCTAAAATAATGTAAGGGTATTTTCATCATATAAACAGTATTTTTTATAATTAATTATTGAGTGCTGATAAACCTATTCTGCTGTCTTATTTCTCCACC